GGTTGGAAAACCGCGGCTCGAGAGCCACATGCGGCTCTTTGGCCCCTTGAGTGTTCTAACGCCACTTCTTCAAAATAGACTCGCCCAGGCTGAAAACCGACTTCTGCGCATGGGCCGCGAAGTTTCAATCGCACTGTATGTGCACACGTGGCATTTTGTGGAAGAGCCACACTCAAGGGGCCAAAGAGCCTCGCGTGGTTCGAGAGCCGCGGTTTGCCAACCACGGCCCTAAGTCCCTGAAGAGGGCCTGGAGCACAGTAGGCACTCCATAAAGGCTTGTGGAATCAATGTTAAAGTTAACCTGCTTGCCGTTTGCGATTTTTACAAGATGATCTGCTATCTTAAATTTCTCCTTCTATAAAGGATTTATCATCAATAATCCCCTGGCTTCTTCTTGTAAATATTATTATTGTATGTCAAACTTTTTAAGAGCTCCACCACAACTCTGATGCCTTCACGATTTCACTTTATCCAGAGGTAAGAGCAGTCAGACGTCCTCCAGGGCACACACCTGCTCTCACATGTTCACACCTGGCTCCCAGGAAGGCCACTCCCCGATGCCCCCTCCGTCTCTCCCTCAGAGGGCTCTCCAGCCTGAAACCGAGGGCAGAACTGCCTTCCTCTAACGGCTGCCTCGTCTTCCCCTTTACCACCCACTCCGGGCGGCCCTGCGACTTGGAAGTGTTTATTTTTTGCCATCTGTGTCTCCGTGTGGCTGTGAGCAGAACCAGCCTGTGTTAAAGGCACCTCCTGTGCCTCCACCCCCTCGGTCCCCTCTGCCAGCCAGATGACAGTTCTTGAAAGTTCTGACCTCTTCCTTCTCCTCCCCCACAGCTCCGGCCTAAGCCATCTCCCCACCCCCACCCCGGTTTCTCTGAAATTCCCTCGGAATCTTGATGAAAGTGTCCTCCCTGAAAAGCGCTTTTACAACACAGAGTCCCTGCGTAGGTAGGTGTTCCCGCTCCAGCCTGCGTCCGGTCTCTGAGGACTCTCTCTCTGCTACTCCCACCACTTCAGCAACAACCGTCAGCTCTCAGATCTCCAAGGGCTTACCTCTTACTGCAGTACTCAGAATCACTCTGGCAAAAACCGGTTTGGCTCAGTGGATAGATAGAGCGTCGGCCTGCGGACTGAAAGGTCCCGGGTTTAGGTCCGGTCAAGGGCATGTACCTTGGTTGCAGGCACATCCCTGGTAGAGGGTGTGTGGGAGGTAACTGGTCGATGTTTCTCTCATCGATGTGTCTAGCTCTCTATCCCTCTCCCTTCCTTTCTGAAAAAAAATCAATAAAAATATTTTTAAAAGAAGAAGAAGAAGAATCATCACTCTGTACTGTGGTTTATCCATATCCTCAGAAGGTGAGTTTCTCAGGCTGGAACCACAACTCATTGGTATTTTTTGCACGCAGTAGGTCCTCCGTGTTCTCTCAAAGGGGCGTCAGCCCCATCCTCTCTCCTCAGCACCACACACATTTCCAGGTGTCTACCAGCAACTTCTATCTAATTATTCATGATGGGCATCCCGGAAAGTTCCCTAACTCCATGGCTTAAAAGTCATTCATTACGGCTCTACCCCCCAAACATCCTGACGTCCGATTTCAGCCACACCAATCTCGCTTCTCAAAGCAGAAACCACAATGTGCTCCTTCACTAACATGTAACCAATCATCAAGCCCTTTGATGTGTTTCATCTGAACATCTCCCTCTCCTCCCCCATTCTCACAGCCTATGTCTGAGGTCAGGTCCCAGGCTCCCACAAGGAGCTCCCAAACTCCCAGCCCCTCTTCCAACAGCGACCAAAGAGATCTTCCGAAAACACAGTGACGGTGCCGCAGTCCAGGGTGTCCACCTCTGACATCTCCCCACCGCCCCAGAGATACAGCCAAGCTCCCCACGTGACACACAAGGCCTTTCCGCATCTCGCCCTGATGACGCTACCCCCTTCAGTCCACCGAGCTCCACCCTCTCCATAGTCTTTTCAACCCAGCCAGACCCAACTCACCTGCATGCCCTTGAACCTGCCGTGTCTTCCTATTTCCGAACACGGGCTTCCTCTGGCTGGAGTCCTTGACGCCAAGGACCACTGAGAAGAGCTCATTTTCATCCCTCAAGCTCCAACCCCTGTGTAACTCCTGTGACGCTTTCCTCAACTCATGCTCAAGCGGTTATGCTTATTTTATTTATAGCAGCATCCTTCTAAGTCTGAGGCAGCTTACACACTATGCCCACACAACTGCACCAAGATTTTTTTTTTTTTTTTAAGAAAGAGACTATCAGGGCAAAGACAAGCGTTAAAAATAGAATAAGGAAGTGGTCATCAAAACCTCTATCCTAAGGTCTCAACTCATCTTGTAGGAGGTGGATTAGCCCTGAGTTTTCTGTCCAGAATAAATTAGTGACTCCTCAGGAAGCTCACTGCCAGTGGTGTATGACTGTACAGTAGCACTTCCCATATTTTTTTTTTTATTTTTTATTTTTTTGTAATTTGCTCTCTGTGTCCATTGCTCTCACTGGCCTGGGGAATTCCTAAGGGACTAGATAATGTCTGACTCATCTCTGTGTTCCTGGCGTGAAACATATGATTCAGCAAAGGATGGGTGCTCAGCAGACATTTGTTGCAGGAATGACACCATGGACAGGGAAAAGGTACTTGTTGAAGTCCCTACCAGAGAGTTATAAAAAGTTTTACTTTCATAAAAAAAATTACAGAGCCAGATTCACATTCTCCACTGCCTCTGTCCTAAGCAGCTGCTCTTTCCACTACACCTGCCGCGCCCTGTCTTCACCATCAGCTGTACCCAAGACCCCCTCCTTCAAGCCTGGGTTTAAACTCACCCGTCTCCAGCCCGGGATGGTGTGGCTCAGTTGGTTGTGGGTTTGATTCCCAGTCAGGGCACATACCCAGATTGCGGGTTCGATATCGTCAGGATGCATAAGAAGGGAAGCAACTAATCTATGCTTATCTCGCACATCAATATTTCTCTCTCTCTCTCTCTCTCTCTCTCTCTCTCTCTCTCTCTTTTTCTCTCTCTCTCTCTCACACACACACACACACACTTACACAAATTAATAAAAATAAACAAAACCACCCTCTCCAAGAAGCCTTTCCTGATCACTCAGTCCATTGCCTGAGTCCAACCCCGACCTTCCACAACACACAGGTAAGAAATGATCACAGCCAAACCGGTTTGGCTCAGTGGATAGAGCATCGGTCTGCGGACTGAAGGGTCCCAGGTTTGATTCCGGTCAAGGGCATGTACCTTGGTTGCGGGCACATCGCCAGTGGGGGGTGTGCATGAGGCAGCTGATCCATGTTTCTCTCTCATCGATGATTCTGACTCTCTATCCCTCTTCCTTCCTCTCTGTAAAAAATTACTGAAATATATTTTTTTTTAAATAAGAAGAAGAAGAAAAAGAATGGATCACAAATCAGGAGGGTTGAGGTGCCTCCTTGGGAGCTGAGAACTGAGCAGCCTGCTTGGGCCTTCTGCAGACCGGTTGGTGAGGCCCTCAGCTCCTGCGTCTACTCCCTTCCCCAGGTGCAGTACCTAGGCCTTCCACGCCTTTCTTTTGCTTCTTCGGGTTTCCCCCTTTCAAACTGAACCCCACAATCTCATCTCCTCAGGCCCACTTTTCTCCAACCAGGTGGACCGGATCAAAGCACACTCCTTCATTACATCAATGAGGTCTCTGCAGTTTAAACCTGTCCTATCACACTTTAGGATTGGTGAGCCTCCCAAACTCTTCAAACACATTAACAGAATGTCAGGAGTCACCCGAGAAGGGACAATGACATCTTAGGGGGCCCAATCACTTGCTCTCAACCCATCTGGATATTTTTGGGGTAGCCTGGGAGTAAGAAGAGCCCTGTGTTTCTCATCCCTGCATCTCTCCCCGGAAGCAGGATGTGGGTCTCTGAGGATAGAATGGAATCCCGGTCCAGAATGCTACTGGGATGTTGCACCCTGGTCCCTCCCTCTCTCCACCACCCACCCCTTCACTCTTTCTTTCTGGCCCCAAACACCCATAGCAGCCCTCACGCCTCACTCAGGATCTCTGTTTTTGAATTACCATTCAACAATTTCCTTTTCACAACAACCCACTTTTCAGATATGCTGAAATGCACATCTCTGACCCTGATATTTTCTTACGTCCAGTTTTTAATGTACTGCGAATCTACCCCTACATCCTGCCACCGCTCCCCTGATACTGCAGGAATAATTGTCATCTTAAATGTTACCACACCTAAGAAACACCCAATCTTCTGAATCAGAATAGGGAGACCAAATTCCTCACTGTTTCCTACTCCTAAATAAAGAATATCCCTGCAATCTACAGCAGCCCTATCCCAGCGCCAGTGGGACCCTTTAGATAACTCATGCCAACTGTTTGGTACCTAGGCCCCGGCGCAGGAACGCGCTCGGATAGCTATGATCACTAAGGTGCGTTAATTACGCACATCCTCCCCAATAGCGCCCTGGGGTAGGTGTGACATGACGCACTCCCCCCCCCCAAACCCCACCGGACCCCCGTTTACGAAAGCAGAGCCTGGGCTCGGCTCGGGGTCGGGGCGCTTTCCCAAGGTCAGGCGGGCAGCGGCGTGATGCTCGGCCCTCGGCCTCCAAAGGACGGACCCCCCTACCCCCCAGCACACCTTTGGATGGGACGCCAGGGTCTTCCAGGAAACAAGCGGGAAAAGCGAGCTCAGCGCCCAGGACAGGGTGGGGGCCCCGGGATGGTAGATCCAGGCCCTGGGGATCATGAGTTCCTCCCCAGAGGCGCCAGGGCCCGGGTTCCAGCGTGCCGGACCCCGGGGACGCCTCTGAACCCCCGAGCGAGGTGCGCGCCGCGGGCTTTGTGCGCCGCAGGCCAACCCAGGCTCCGGGTCCCCGCGGGGCGCGCAGCGGCCGCCCGGCCTGCGGGGCAGGGGCGGCGGCGGCTCGGGCCCCGAAGCCCGCCCGCGGCCCCCGCACGCCCGGCCCGGCCTCCCGGGAGCCTCCTACCTGCAGCGGCGGCGCGGCCACCGGGGAGGGGCCGGCGAGGCGGGCGGCCTGGGTTCCTCTCGCGCTGGGCCGCGGGCTCAGAGCGCCGGGCGGACGGTGCGCCCCCGGCCGGCCAGGCCCCGCCGCGCGCGCCGCGGCCACAAAGCCCGGAGCCGCCGCCCCCCGCGGCCCCCGCCGCCCGCCCGCCGCGCCGGTGCGTCCGCGCCGGGAGGGGGCGCGCCTGGCCCCGCGCAGTCCGCCCCCAGCTCCCCGCGCAGCGGCCGCCGGCCTCCCCGGGACGCGGGGCGGGGCAGGGCGCGGGGGCCCCCACGACCCTCTCTCCCCGGGCCGGCCTCTGTGCTGGTGGCGCCCCCGTTCCCACCTGCGCGGGGGAGCTCGGAAGGGCCCGAAAAATGGGATTCATTTCCAGGAACAACAAAAGGACGCGTGTGTCACCGGGGATTTGGTGACTGCGAGCACGTGCAAGCCCCGATCTGAAACAGGCCCCCTTTCTGTGGGGACCCCTTGGTGCTGGGAACGGCCGAGCCTCCCCATGCTGGCTGCATCACGGAGAGGTGTGAGTGTGTGTGTGTTAATTTGTGGGATGGTGTGTGTGTGTGTGTGTGTTAATCTGTGGGATGGATGTGTCTCCCCCTAGACTGTGAGTTCCCTAGGGCAGGAACTCTGAAACCTACGCAAATATGAATAGGAATGAGCTTTAGTTAATAATGTATCAGTGTTCCTCTTCCCATCCCGGAATCTGGAAGGGAGGGAAAAAGGAAGGGGAGGGGAGGACAGGCTGACTGCAGGATGGACAACGAATTGGATAAAAATAATCATGATGATGATCGTAATAACAAATGAATATTTTTAAAGTAATAATGCCAGCATTTGGTCATTACTTGTGACAAAGGTCCCATAATAACATGAGGTTAACAATAGGACCAACTGTGTGTGTATGGGGGAGGAGAGGGGGGGTACTGTGTGCGGGAATGCTTTACTTCAGTGTGACCTTGACAGTTTTAAGAAGAATTGAGTATTTTGTAGACTGTCCGTCAGTTCTTCTCAATGTTCGACTGGGCATTTGGATTTGGGGGAGCTCAGTAGCTATTAGCATTTTTTTAAATCTGCAGTTCTAGGTATCTAGAGAAATGCTACTTGCACCTATGGAAAGGGGGTATGAATTCTACTGAAGCATTATTTGGAAGAAAAAGGTTAAAACTTAACATCTATTTGTAGAGACATAGCCTGAGCCTTGGGCTTGTGGGGTGAATAGTGGGGACTAGACTTCTTTCCATTGCACAAGTGTTTGTCACCCACCCATTAATTCCAGAAATGTTAGTAGCTACTATGTGCGGGGACCCACCTGGCATAAAGACTGTCTTCCCTGGGGTCTTCACTTGATAGATTCATTAGAGCATGGACTGGGAGATGTGAGAATGTTCCTTGAAACCCTGTCCCCTTCCCCCCCACCCCAACCCTCCTGCCCCCGCACCCCAACATCCTTACAGAACAATACCTAATGCAAGGAGCACTAAGTCATGTCTGCACCTACAAAGGCAATGGCATCCAGGTTGTCTCTGGGCTTGCCATTCCATTCCCTTCTATACTCCAGGGCATGTGAACTCACCTCATCCATACATGTCAGGGTCAGGTCAGTCCTGCCTTCCATAAGCTTACACAGGGGTGTGTGTGTGTGTGTGTGTGTGTGTGTGTGTGTTAGAACACTCCACCATAATGTAAGATGTAAGATGAGGAAAGAAGCACTCAGCAGGGCAAACAGCTAGAGAGGGATCTGTAGAAGGTAGACAATTAAGCTTCATGTTGGTCCCCAGGATTATCACTGGTTCCAAGTAACTAAGTATTGATATACTCAACATATCCAGAATTCTTGAGAAAGTGAGGGCCCTCACTCAGAATGCTCATAATTGTTTAAAAATGAAGGATAAAACAATAGGTTGTGCTGTTAATTAGAAGAAAGCAAGATGAACAAATAATGAATAGGAAAGTAATTGTTTTGTTCTGTTTGCTAATTTGTGTTTTTGTAACAAACTATTTTTATTGTAATTTTATTTTCTGAAAAGTTGAATAGTTTCTCAATATGTATCAACCTGGATCATCCTCTTATATAATAAAAGGCTAACATGCAAATCGACTGAACTGTGAACCACTGGTCACTGTGACGTGCACTGACCACCAGGGGGCAGACGCTCAACAGCATCCTTAGTGCAGTTACAGAGGTAGGAGAAGCTCCTGCCGCCACTGCCACTGTGCTTGCCAGCCATGAGCCCAGTTTCTGGGGAGCAGTTCCCAGCTGCCAGATCCCAGCTCCCAAGCTGGGCTCATGGCTGGCAAGCACAGTGGCAGTGGCGGCAGGATCCTCTCCTACCTCTGTAACAGCACTAAGGATGTCTGAATGCCGGCTAACGCCCACTCCCCATGGAAAACAGGCCTAAGCCATCAGTCGGATGTCCTCCAAGGGCTCTCAGATTGCAAGAGGGTGCAGGCTGGGCTGAGGGATACATCTCCCCTCCACCCCCAGAGTATTAATTTCATGCACCGGGCCTCTAGTTTTTACATAAATTCCTCTTTTCTCAATGTCTGCTTTATGTACTCTTCTGCCCTCCCTCCCAGTTCTTTCTCTCCATGCCTAACACCGTCCCCTAACAATCCTATATAATAAAGAGGGAATATGCCAATTGACCCTCACGCTGATGCAAAGATGGTAGTGCCCAGAGCCAATAAGGAGGGAATAAACTAATTGACTGCCATGCCCTCAAATATGGCAGTGCCCACAGCCACAAGATGGTGGCACCAAATCCCCTCAGCCCTCCAGCCACTCAGGGCTGGCCTGAGGCACAGGCAAGCCTCAGATGGTGGCTGCCCAGCCGCCCAGGGCTGCCCAAGGCTCAGGTAACCAGGGCTGCCCGAGACTTGCACTGCCAGCAGTGGCAGCAGCAGAAGTGTGATGGCACCCACATATGGCACAATTTCTTTATCCATTCATCCATCAACAGACATTTGGGTTGCTTCCATATCTTGGCTATAATAAGTAATGTTGCAATGAACATAGATATGCACGTATCTCTTTGAGGTACTGATTTATTTATTTATTTAGTTATTTTTAATCTAGAATTGAGACTGCTGGATGATGCAGTAGCTCTATTTTGGCTGCCTGTCTCTCAAGTAAGTACCTGTTACAACTTCTATCAGGCAGGGGTCTCTAATGAGTTTTCTTTGTTTCCAGATTTAAGTTACTGCCCCCTCCTCCTTCCTCATGCCCTTAGGCTAATAGGTGCCATCAGCACCTAATCCCTGCTCCCTAAAGAATCTCTGTAAATAGATCCTGTATTAAACAATCCTCAAATTTCCCTCTAAATTGCGCCATCTGTCTCCCCCAAGGACCCTGATTGAGACATTGCCCCAGGGAATTTTTCCTGTAACTAAAACTTACATCACTGGTGCCAAAATTTTTCCTTATGGCCAATATGAGGGATTTTCTCATTCTTTATACTTATAAAATGGAATGCTACTTGGTTATTGGACAACCGTGCTTTTAAGAAATAGAAGCAGAATACAAAGAATATGTTGAATTTTAAATAGCAATTTCATAAAGCAAAACATATCAAAACAAATGTGTGTGTGTGTATAAAAAATATCGAACAGATAATGCTCCAACCTGGTTATAGTAATTCTTGGAGTACCAAGTATTTTTTTCTTTACGATTTTCTCTGTTTTCCTAGTTTTCTGCAATAATACTACCTTGTTAATATAATGAAAAATATACATATGTAGCGCTATTTTATTTTAAAATATATTTTATTGATTTTTTTACAGAAAGGAGGAAGAGGGATAGAGAGTTAGAAACATCGATGAGAGAGAATCATCGATCAGCTGCCTCCTGCACACCCCCTACTGGGGATGCGCCCACAACCAAGGTACATGCCCTTGACCAGAATCAAACCCGGGACCTTTTAGTCCACATGCTCTATCCACTGAGCCAAACCGGTTTTGGAAGTAGTGCTATTTTAAAACATTTTTGTTTGATCCAACTATACAGATAAGGGTGCTTCCAAGTACAACCAGGAGCTGTGGAGGAAGAAGCCGTGGGATGTCATGCCCTTCCTTCTCATGGTGCACTGCTGGCAGTATCACCAGCTCTCTGCCCTCCAGAGGGGTCCCCCTCACTGCCCCCTCTCCCACCTGACCCGATAAAACGCACAGACTGGTATACAAGGCCAAGGCAAAGGATTCGAGTGCTCCGTGGTGGCTGCAGATGCCCAGTTCCTAAGGGGGTGACCTAAGGTAAGCCTGCCCATCGTGGTAGTTACCAGCTGAAGTTTGCTCGAAGCCTTCAGTCTATTGCCAAGGAGTGAGGTGGACACCAATGTGGGGCTCGGTGAGTCCTGGATTTTTAATGAAGATTCCACAAATTCTTGGTGGTGGTCCTCATTGATCCACTCCGTAAGGCTATCTGAAGGAATACTGATGCCCAGTGGATTACCAAATCTCACGCACAGGGAGATGGGAAGCCCCAAGAGCTGTGGCCTTGAGAAGGACACACAAGTTCGCTGCCCAGCTCTGCCGTCACTGCTAATATAAGTAATGATTGTAAAATGTTTACCTAATAAACAACTTAGGATACTCATTCTGCTTAAAGGTGTCTTTAGCCAAAGCCGGTTTGGCTCAATGGTAGAGTGTCGGACTGCGGACTGAAAGGTCCCGGGTTCGATTCTGGTCAAGGGCATGTACATTGGTTGTGGGCACATCCCTGGTTGGGGGTGTGCAGGAGGCAGCTGGTCAATGTTCCTCTCTCATCGACGTTTCTAACTCTTTATTTCTCTCCCTTTCTCTCTGCAAAAAATCAATAAAATATATTTTTAAATATAAATAAATAAATAAATAAATAAAGGTGTCTTTAATGTGTTAAAACTACAATAGTTATCTGAAGATGTGTTGTCAAATTATGAAAGCTAAAGTGCAATAATGTTTGAAGACTATAAATCTCGTTTCTCATAAGATAAACGCAGTTGTCTTTGCTTTATCTTATTAGGGAGTTTCCAGGTCAGTGTTTAAAGTGCTGTTTGGTAGAAGGTGTAAAATAAATCCTGTGAAACATGAAAAAAAAAAAGTACTAAAATAAAAACAACCTAACCATCCAGCTCCTCCTTGACCCTTAAC